TACACACACACACACATGCAATGGCAGACTGAAGTCTTCCTGCAATTTGTAGTTTGTTTTGTGTATTTTAATGGCCACTTCCACACATCATACAATTATTATTCATAAAATAACACTTGCTGTCTCTCTCTCAGCCTTTGAGTTTCCACAGATTAACTACTCTCTGTGTCGTGGGCAGAAGTATTCCTTCGCTTACGGTCTGGGACTCAACCACTTCATCCCTGACAGGGTAAGGAGTGCTTTTATCACTCACAGGTGACTGACTGACTGACGAAAACAGTGTTGGCGATATCCCCAGCCTTAAGTTATCCAGAAAGTGATACAGATGTTGTGGTTGATGAAGTTTGTTTATTGTTGACTTGCTGTAGATAGTCAAGCTGAATGTACAGACCAAAGAGACCTGGGTGTGGCAGGAGGAAGACTGTTACCCATCAGAGCCGCTGTTTGTACCAACACCTGGAGGCACAGAGGAGGACGACGGTAGAACACACACTTTATTACACTGACAGGCGCATGCGCTCTCACACACACACACACACACACGCACGCACGCACGCACGCACGCACACACACACACACACACACACACACACACACACACACACATCATGCACATGCAGCCTGTCTACCAAAACAAACCACAGAGAAGTTTTGATTACAACACACAGAGAGTTAGTATGACTTAATTGTTTGCCCTTACTCCATTATATCTTTAAAATCAAATAGCTTGTTTACTGCTATATTAATACTCTGAAAGTAACATAAAGAAAATTTAATTTATTTATTTAACCTCTGCCCTGAATGTAGCATTTATGACATCAAATCCTATTTGGATAGGTCATGTCACATGGGAAGAGAACATTAGCACTGAAATATTGCACCAAAGATCTGTATGGCAGATACAAACACAAAAAGAGGTCGAAAAATGAAACATCAAAAGGCTAACTTCTCATCTGTATAAACCTAAATCAAACTCACACTTAGATAAACTTTAATCTCTACCTAATCCTAATCACATCTATGATGGAAACACACACATTTTCACCTCCTCTGTGTTGCAGGTGTGCTGCTGAGTATCGTGGTGAAGCCGGGTGCAGAGAGACCAGGCTTCCTGCTGGTGCTGGATGCCATGAAGCTGACGGAGCTGGCCAGGGCCGAGGTCAACACCATCATCCCTGTGACTCTCCATGGCATGTACAAACCATGACCTTGACCTTCATCCTCACCCAGCCTACACACATGTTACAATACACCATCTTTACACTCTGCCAGCAACAGAAATCAGGAATGGTCTCCAAAGAGAAGATTATTTTCACTAAGCTGCTGCTGAAGTTGAGACTTTAAACTCTTCAAATAACATGTTATTAATGTTATTTCCATTTCTCCTTGGGTTCAAACTTGCTGCTGCTGAGTTAGCTTGGAGCCAGCAGTGTCTGTTGGTTGTAATGTAGAAGTGCTAACAGTTTCTTCTATCATAAAGACAACCATAATGTGTCTTGAAGCTGATGGAGGAGAACAGTGCCTGTGTACAGAGAAATTACCTGTAGCATGACCTTACTTTGCTTTTGTTAAAACACCTTGGCAAAAACATTCATATTTACTGCATTGACAATGTTTTATATCATAATTAGGATGACACCTGCATATTTGTGAAATCATCCTTGTAAAGCATTAAATACAAACACAATATTTTTGCAACAGAATTTAAAAAAAATCTGTCTACTTTTTATTCTTAAATACAAATAAAACAATTATACCAAAATAATCATTTTACATTTTGTAATTACATTCATGGTCACAGTGCAAATGTTTTGACATTTATTGTAAAAAATATAATGACTTCTGTGAGGAAATATCCTGCCATATATTATGAGCCAAACAAACTGAAATAAAAAAATCATGCAAAAATGAGACAAACATTAAATGATCCCACAGGTCTATACAGCAGACATAAGGCTGAAATGTTTATTATCTATTAACTGTTCCTAAAGTGATAATACCATGTCAGTGCTGTGCTTAGAGTGGCTTAGAGCCTCTTGTGCTGCCCCCAAGTGGCCAAACATATACATTTATGCAGGTTTAAGAAGGTAATAACATTTTAGAGAACCTTTGAGGGTTTCCCCCATGTCAAGATGAAAAAAAAATGCTTTGGTTCATTTGAAGGAAGGGCAATAAAATCATCTTTGTATCTGTTATAAATACTTCTAGACAGTCTCCATGCCGACACCTTTGCATTCAGTATGTGCAATAATTGTAGTCGATTTGTGTTATTCAAAGTATGAAGACAAAGCTTTCACAGATATGACTTCTATTAGATAACATTGGTAATCAAAACATTAATGAAAACATGAAAGTAACTTCCCGAAATGAAAAGTCAGCAGTTTAATCTCAGAGATGGACGTATGTTTGACATCAAGAGGACATGAGGAGGAGAGGAATGAAAGCTTCTATATACGTAAAAGTGCTGAGTGCAGTTTCTCTGTGGGAAGCTCATACTGCCGCTGTTTGATGATGTCCAAGCAGTCCTTGAGAACCTGCACACATGTAAAGATTTACATTAAAAGACGTCATAATAAGAAAAAAACGAAAAGTTGAAATTGTATTGGCAATCTTTTTTACCTTCCTGGTGTCCTGAGGAAGAATGACGCCATCGTCCCACAGTCAGCCGGAGGAGAAGAAAGCGGAGCTCTCTTCTTCCAATCTCTTATTTAACTTGTCCTCGTGCTTCTTCTTCTCTTCCTCATCCTGCTCACTGTCAGGGGGAAGCAGAGAGCCGGCGTGACCCGGAGCCGTCATTGACACTCTGGCGTTGGGCCACAGGAACAGGAAATTAGGGTCAAATGTCCGCCCACACTGGAGAAAAACAGGAAAGACGGTTTTAATTATTGTGGGATAAACCCTGTATCCTAAATTCTACATAAGCAAATGTATAATTATACTGCAGAATACTATGTATGTGTAGATTTTTGATAATGCTTGGCTGTTGTCTGCAACTAATACGACAAAATATAACTGCATGTAACAAAACGTAAACAGCTTCTGTTACATTTTGGTGAAAATATTTTAAAATTTCACAACTATCTTTGCATATTTTGATACTTTTTTGCTCTGAATCTGGGTCAAACCTTTCAGAGCAACATTTAAAGCACAGGGACAGTGAGATTTTTGACACGAAGAGTAGGTTTTCAATGGAATACTCTATTCAAGAATGTTAATTTATGGCAAAACGTTGTGTTTTGATCATAATTAAGTTAAAAGAACAGCAGGAAAATTACATGTTGCTGCAGGAGTTGTTTAAGAAGTTTCTATTGGTCATTTTGATATGGATTTTTTCATTAAAACGGCTGTGATTCCAAATTGATTACAGAGACACTTTTCTTGCCTACAGATGGTGAGTTTAATAACGACAAAATCATAAGGGTACTGGTATAACCATGACACAAACTACAGGAAAGCAGCTAGAACAAAAATATTATAAAACCTAAGTATATTTCTATTTCTAACTTTGCAGAATGGACACTCAAAGAAATAAAAATGATAGCTATGTAATAATGTTAACCTTCCCTAAGATGATTGCCCTTCTGCAAGGTAGATTCTACCACATTTAAGTGCTGATGTTCACAGGTTAGAGCACATCTACAGTTAATGTCAGTAATGTTTACGGAGACTCTCACCATGGCGTAACTGTCGGCACCATGGCAACCACCGATCACCACAGTGATTTTGGGGACTGAGGCACATGCTACTGCTGACATCATTGAACCCTGAGCTTTCAGACGGTTACTGTTCATCGCTGCCTGAAGAGAGAGAGACACAAACAGAAAATACTGATATGACATAGAAAATATTTACCGTAAAACTTCAGTTAAAAGCCTAGTCGCAATTATACACCCAGTCCCTTTTAAAAGCCTGGTGTGGCCCCACATTTTGACAAATGAACGCCTGCCTCAATTAGACGCCTGGTCTGGTTGCCAAGCAGTTCATTTTTTTAATAGAAGTTCTTCAGATGTATAAAACCAGGTTGTTGGCTACCTCAAATTATGTGTCCATTCCTCAATTACCCTGTATGTTGTTCATAGTCCATACTGATCAAAACAATCAAAAAAGGTTTTTCATAAACAATTATCCAAATTGTGAGTACTGTTTTAACAGGATAAAGTGCTGTCATGTCAGTATGCTGGGTGCCGCAACTCTCTCTTTCTCTTTGATGCACCATCTGTCAGAGCTTGATCAAATGAATGATTCATAATTGATATATTATTTGAAGCCTAATTTTTATACTATATATAAATATATGTTTATATTTTTATATATAGTAATATTCATACTGGTTTAAATAAACAATTTGGTTGTATGCAACCAAACAGTTTTGTGTGAAAGGAATTAAGGGCCTGTCCCAAATATAGGCCCGTTGATTTCAGTGATTTAAGCAAATAATAGCCTGGGTTATTAACAGAAGTTTTACGGGTAACTCGCTTCACTCACCCAAACTATGAATCTACACTATGAAATACTTAAACACAGACCTGTGTGTGTGTGTGTGTGTGTGTTTGTTTCACTGGGAGTGAATACCTGTGCTGTGGAGAGTGTCAGAGCTGCTGTGGGTGCTGTGTTCTGAAGGAATACAAGAGGAATGTTTCTCTGGTCACACAACTGGACAAAACGACTTCCTTTCAGTGCAGCTTGGTACGACAGCTCTCCGTTGTTGGCTAATATTCCCACCAGGTGGCTAACAGGGTACATACAAAGAAAAAAAAAACATTTGATCAGCACAACGCATAAACAATGTGAAAACAATGCTCAGACTGCACACATTTTTCAATGATAGGCCATCCAAGTTTTTGGGGTAACTGCTATGGCACACTCACTGCATACAGAAACATGGTATTTTTTTGCAAAGGCAAAGGGGCAAACAACTCAAGTGTGTTAAACCAGAAACATTACAGCACCGGTAAACAAAAAATTAATTAATTAATCACTTCTGCACAGCAACAAAGATTTATTGTCCTTGAGGGATGTTTTCACAGCCAGCACACAGATACATGCAGATATACACACAGAAATATACAATATAGACTGTAACCAAAATCCCCATCCCCAGCTCATAACAGTGTCGACAAGGCAGATTTAGGGCTGCAATTGCACAGTGAACAAAATTCCTGCTGAAACAAGCGCTTCCCTGTTTAAGAGTCCTGCGTCTCCGGCCAGATGGAAGTAATGTGAAGTGTTAATTGAGGGGATGATCAGTGGTGTTTGACACTGTAAGTACAAGGCATGTGATGGCTCTGAGGTTCATGTCTGATAGACTGGGTGTAGGAGGGCAGGTGCTATTGAGTTTATTTTTGTTACAGTTGCTTAACATGGTTATTATTGTAGTATTTTTTTCTTAAAACAAGTTTTTGCAAGTTGTTGTGTCTGTAACTTACTTTAGACTAGCAAGTTTTGCATACTGAAATTAATTTTTTTGCTGACAACCACATAGTTTTTGTACGTGAACAAAATTATTTTTGCTACCATTTTTTCAACTGCTGCTTAGTGGCATAACATTAGTTCTCTTGCAACATGATTGGATGCTGTCAGACTAGTTCAAACAAAGTAGATCTGAGGGATTAAGTGTTACCTTGCTGGGAATGAATAGCATTAATTTAAGATGAATAAGGAAATAAAGTAAAATGACTGGATTGGAGGCACACTTTATAAATAATTTACTTTTTGATATTTGGGCTTGGCGGACGGTATCAAGTACTATCAAGTCAAAAGGCTAAAGTCCAGGTGAAGTCATGAGTTACTGATATTAAAGTCAAAGTCGATTTTGATTTGGAGTTGAGTCTAAAGTCATCAGAATTGTGACTCAAGTCCAAGTCATATGACTTGAGTCCTAATTTCTGCTCGTTTGGCTCTTTATACAAACTGGCAGGGGTCCAGCTGTGGTGCGACGGCTGGCAGGATGGTGTTCAGCATCAGTTTTTTCAGACATTTCATGGCTATTGGAGTGATTGCAACCTGTCGGTAGTGGTTGGGTTCTGAAGAACAGGGTTTCTTGGATACTGGTATGATGGGGGACAGGGGTGATTCTAGGATCAGAGGTTTAGGGGTGCTGAGCACCCAGAGAGCTGCCTGGCCAGGCAAGATAAATTTCACTGTTTTGTACATTTTAACGCAATTTCATTCCCACATTTGTGAAAGAAAAGCACAACACTTTTTGGGAAAGTCTGTGACTAAACCATCAAATCTGATAAAGGTTATTTAAATGCTGAGCCACAGCAAAAGAGGAATGGATTGGAATCATAAAAGAAACATATCGTAACCCTAATTTCTGGGGGAAGACGACTCATTTTGCTGCTGTATTTTTGTTGTTAAAATATTAATCAAGTACTGTATGGTTTTGACACTTTTCTAGCTTGTTAAAAAAGGGCATACAGTAAAAAAATTTTTTTTTTAAATCTCTCAAATTTTAGGGGTGCTGGGATTCAATTTAGGGGTGCTTCAGCACCCCCAAAAATGGGCTAGAAACGCCTATGATGGGGGATGTGTATGAGGGTGGGTATTGATGCCCTCCTGTAGGATTCCGAGAGGGGGGAGGCTCCTCATAAGTGGCAGCGTGGTTATGGGTGTCAAACCAATTGTAAAAAGTATTAGTATATTGTTATTGTGGAATGGCTTTGTTTCAGTTCACAACTGGTCAGGGTTTTTACTTAATTGAAAGCTCTGTCCTGTTTGTTTAATCTGTGTCTTCATGTAAGAAATCCTGCACCACACATCCAAAAGCGTGTGTGTGTGTGTGTGTGTGTGTGTGTGTGTGTGTGTGTGTGTGTGTGTTTGAATCTTTTACCCATGTATCTTCGCAAAGCCGGTGATGAGTGTAGTTCCATAGCGCAAATTAAACTCCTGAAAGCGGCTCCCGTCTGTCAGTCGACTGACTACCTGGACAGACAGAAACAATCTCAGTTAGCGTTACGTTACGTCGGTTTATATTCTGTCGACTCTGCTCAGTGTTTACAGCTCCGTTTTGTATATTTAATGACAAGATTTAGTGAAGTTATTTCAATGTAGGCCTATCTATTTTTTGGACATTTTACAGCGCTTAAAAAAATATCGCAATATTATCGTTTACCGTGATCATTTGGTCACTATAATCGAGATATCAATTTTTCCATATTGTTACATCCCTAGACGTCACCAGGTAGAAAATCAGTGCTTGCCATCACAGCCGGGCGGGGGATATAATAGAAGCAATTAGCAATTATAAGAAGAAGACAACAATATTAAATATCATAGATAAACAAGGAATATTACAATATCAGTAGCCTATAGAAAAAAGACAATAGTGAATATAATAAGTTACACAAAAACTAGAATACTAGAATAAAAACAGCGGTAATTCATGAGAATAAATAATCAAAAGACATCATATCTATTCCAAAAGACTGGCCAGGGATAGGTTCAATCATATGATGCAGGCTTAAAGTCTTCAGCCCAAGGCTAAAAATAAAACTACTAATATTGTGAGTCCCTTGTGCTATACAAGCGCAAATCGTGGCAGAGGCAGCTAGCCGTGGCACTTCCGGTGGCAACCTCAGGTGCCGCGGCAGATGTCGCTGTTTGCTGTGGCAACTTCCGGTGGCATCCTCAGGTGCCACTGACTTGCCGCGGCAGCTGAGGCTGTTTGGGGCAGCTGCCACAGGATGAAGTGACTGTGGGGCTGTTAAATGATAGTTTTTAATAAAAAATAATGATAATAAAAAGTGATTTAACCATTAAGACTTGGCACAAAAGAATGTAGCATTATCAGAGCACTAAATATTTGTTAAAATTTTGAATGCCAAAATCACGGGGGGGGGGGGGGGGGGGGGGGGGGGGGGGTGTATAGAAACAGCTGTTTACCACTATTTCTCTTGTCTCTCTGTCTCTCTCTCTCGCCACGAACTTGCCACTGTAGGGATACCTAGTGGTTCTCAAAGTGGGGAATTTCATTTCCTACCTGCCACGGATTTTACAGACCTGCCGCGACAACTACAGCTGATTGAGGCAGTTGTCACTCACCTGCCACGGCTTTTACTGACCTGCTGTTTGTAATCACTGTATCTGAAATCAATAGACAGACAAGAGTTTCAACCTTGTTCTATTTATTTATTTATTTTATCATCATACATAATATGATATACATGTTTTTCACTGTAGCCTATTAAGTATAAAAAACAGGCTACAATAAAAATTATTTCTCTATGGTTTAAATTTTGACTGTTTTCTTTTGATGTTTTTATACTGTTAATTTGTCTTTAACTTTATGTTTTTGTGCAATGCCAACCAACACCCATTACCTGATATTTGCTGATGCATATACCGAGATAATAGCGAGTTACTAATGAGCAACGGTCTCATTTTGAGTCTAATATGTCTCACCCTGCAATTTTTGATCTCAATTAAAAACCTGCTGATTTTGGCATTCATAAATTCGAACAATATTTACAGCTCTGATTGTGCTACATTTGCACGAATTTTCTTGATTAAATCAAATTTATTACCAAAAACTAACCAACATAAAACCAGTCACTTCATCCTGTAGCAGGTGAGTGGCAGCTGCTTCAAACAGCTGTAGTTGCCGTGACAAGTCAGTAAATGCCGCGGCAAGTCAGTGGCAAGCGCCTCAAACAGCCTCAGCTGCCGCGGCAAGTCAATGGCACCTGAGGATGCCACCGGAAGTTGCCACAGCACCTGAGGTTGCCACCGGAAGTGCCACGGCTAGCTGCCTCTGTCACGATTTGCGCTTGCCCCTACTGATTTTATGACTGTGCCTGACGGTAACTATAAATGTGGTGGCACATGTCGTTTACCTTATTCGCTGCCCATGTGGTTTGGCTTATGTGGGTAAAACATCCAGAGCGTTACGCACCAGGATCAGCGAACATAGAAGTAACATCAGAAAGGGGGATGAACGTAATCCAGTGGCCGCACACTTTAAACAGGCTGACCACAGTGTCAGCGCCCTCAGATATATTGGGGTGGAGAAAGTAGAGAAGCATTCGAGGGGAGGTGATCTGCAAAGAAAACTCCTCCAGTGCGAAATTTTCTGCATCTGTTTCCTCAACACCATGTCTCCTAATGGTGTAAATGAGGAATTTGATATAAAACCTTTTCTATAATAGCCTAATTAGTGCCCTTTATGTAGCCTTATATGCCAGTGTTTTAACTTATCTTTGTTTGTCATGTGCACTAGCCTACTTCTGCTATTCCATGACAAAATTATTGACCAGTCTTTTGGATATGATGTCTTTTGATTATTTATTCTCATGAATTACCACTGTTTTTATTCTAGTAGCCTACTATTCTAGCTTTTGTTCTTATATTCACTGTTGTCTTTCTATACTGATATTATAGGCCTAATATTCCTTGTTTATCCATGATATTTAATATTGTTGTCTTCTTATTATTATTGCTAACTGCTTCTATTATATCCCCCACCCGGCTGTGATGGCAAGCACTGATTTTCTACCTAGTGACGTCACAGACGCGCCGGCCTATATATTTTCTCCTTGAACTGCTGTCACTCATTTGCCTGATGAAGACCCGATAGGGTCGAAAGCTTGCAGCTTTGTGCCAAATAAAAACGGGAGCTTAAACTCAGTGTGCGAACACTTACCTATAGGTATGAGACACTTAAATGTCATGCTTATTAAAACCCTGTCAAGATACTTTTTAATCAAATGTAAGACTGATTCATAGACAAAACATCTGTTTCTCATTCAAGCATTGCAGTTATGTAGGTTTTATGTAGGAATATGGTTTTTAGGGTAAGTGAGGCTAATGTACTTTTTGCAAACAAGTAAATGCAAGTATAAAGTAAAAAGACAGACTTTAGGGGTTAAAGTTTGTAACATCAGAAATGTGGATTTTCACAAAAAGAGCTTGACTCATTTTGACTGAAATAAATTAAAAGGTGGATTTAAAAAAAAGATCAAATATTTATGGCAATTAAGTATGGGGTGCCGTTTGTAAAGTTTTGCCACATTTAGCTTCAAACAATGTTTAAAAAAGTATTGTGAATTTTTTAACGTCACCTTTTACCACATTTACAGCAATATTTGTTAACTTAGAAATATATTAAATAGTTAAATCTAAATATTAAATGTGGCACCTTAATGTTAAATGTTAAATGTAAATATTAAATCTAAATCTAAATATAAATCTAAATATTAAATATTAAATCTAAATCAAATAAACTAACAACTCAAAGTACACGTCAAATAAAATTTCTCCAAACATGTTTCTTGTTATTTTAGGTAGTTATTATCACACTTATGTATGTTCAAGTGTTCATTTCCCCCGATAAGTTGGTTTTAATTCGTTATTTGATTCTATAAACACAGTCTGACCATCTCGAGCTTTTATTTTGGTACTTCCGGTGACCGGCAGTGTGAATTTGCATATTAGCTAAATATTTAGTTTCACCCAGAACATTTAGATTTAACATTTAACATTTAGATTTATATTTAGCATTTAGATTTAACATTTAGATTTATATTTAG